GGGGGAGGAATTTGGGGGTGGGTCAGCCAATTTTGACATGCTTCAAAGGGGTGGGTCTTTTTATAGTTTTGGTATAAATGGAGGGGGTCATAAAAATAATCAGTGAAAAAATCACCAATATGATTTTATTCAATTTGGAAATATTTGGATCAAGAATGGTAAAAAGGTCTAGAATCTATCAACTATCTCGTCATCTATAACAAAGAAGCAAAATTCGTTTGACGCTCTGTCCACACAGTCCATAGGAAAACATTCCCATGACGTTCGTCAATTGACCTCGTTTTTATCCGTTTTTGTGTGAAAACATGAATGAAAGAAATCGCAGGACCGTAGCATGATTTCAAAATCATGCATGATTTCAAGGTCTGCATGACTTCAAGATCATGCAGACCTTGATCAATTTTAAGCTTTATTAATTTTAAGTGACTACATTATCCATGACAAACTGGAAAGAATGAAGATAGTACCCACAGTTTCCTGCAACTTATCCTAGTTATTCAATATATAGTAAACTAAATACGCCTTCGCCCATTTACAGTAGTACTACCAAATTGTCAATTTCGACATACTAAAACGCTGTTTTCTGACCATCAGAATTCTGTCAAATCTTCCCCCAAAGGCCAGGAAATGACATTTCAGAGACTCTAGATTTAAAGATTTCCTCGGGCCTTTGGCCCTCGCTTTCAGCCCCCCAATCAAAAAGAGCTTCCTACAGCCCTGAAACGCTATGGAAACGACAATGTGTGGATTAATAGTTAGGATGAGGGGTCAAAAAATTTTCAGTAAAAAAATAGGGGGTCATAATTTTTTATCAACTTTTGTCTTGGGGGTTCCAAGTTTTCGCATGGAATTAGACATCAGTTCCTCTGCCCCCCCCCCCAGCTAAAAAATGAATGCTCCCTAAAGAGAAACTTACCGCGAAGATTTTGAGCATATATATGATTGAATTGGATGAAAACTCGCAAAATTATCCATCGTTAAAAGTTCGTGTGAAATGGTTACTTGGTCAGTTCGAGCGTTGCATTGCCAGAAATACTGTGCCATGTTAACATCTAGCCTCGTGAATGGTGTTTTATACTGTTTAAACGTGAAATCTAGTTCAGGATCATATACTTCCCGCCTTTGTGAACGTAAGATTGGTTTTAACGTCAAAACACAATTACTTACGTTATTGGTTTTAACGTCAAAACACAGGGGCTAGCTGGCTAGGGACCTAACAGAAACGACATGGCTATCATTTAAGGCCCCTATTCCCTAGATCATATATTTACAATAATTAAAATATAAAATGCCAGTTCAAATGTTTATAAAATACAATTCCAGTTAAGTATTATGCATACTGAAAAATAAAAGAAAATGTGGTCATTAGCTAAATGACAGGAACAATAACACAATTATAATTTTATATTGAAAAAGAATAGTTACTGTCAGTCTGTCATAAGCATGGATTTTTATCCCAAAATATCAGCTACCGGATAAAAGACGTAAAAACATAAACCATCCAAAATACACTAAACAATCTTGACTGGACAGTATAAATACAATATGTCCATTTCATAATTCCAAGTCTTGGGCATTCTTGACCTGAACGAATACGACTACCACAATTAATTCTCATGCTATTTCTCTACATCTTTCACAATGTTTGTTGCAAGTATAAAACACCATTCACGAGCCTAGATGTTAATATGGCACAGTATTTCTGGCAATGAAACGCTCGAACTGACCAAGTGACCATTTCACACGAACTTTTATCGATGGATAATTTTGCGAGTTTTCATCCAATTCAATTATATATATGCCCAAAATCTTCGCGGTAAGTTTCTCTTTACCATAAAACTTGACCGAATAAGTTTCGAAACAATGCGACGGCAAAAACTGCAAAAATCCTGATTTTCGTAATAGAATCTATAGTCTTTTTGCCCTGTTGTACCGCCATCTTGGATTTATCATGTAGGCCCCGCCTGCGCTAGGTATGCGTTAGCAATCTAGATCTCCTATATCTATGGTTTCAACCCTGGTATTCGGAAAGTCAAATCGCGATCTGGAGTATGTTATTTTTTAAATTTTCTGTGACGTCAAAAAACGTCATAAATCTGATCATCCATACAAACATTCATACATGCAAATAAAATCGAGTTGTCGTTCGGTTATACATAACTCGGCCAACCGGGAACGGACTGGTGCGAGAAAAACACATCGTCAAGAATAGGTGGCTGAATGCGGCAGCAATAATATTCCAACTGTCGGGTCCCGACCATACTTTGCGTTTCGACAGAACGGACTTTGCATGGTCTTTAATAACATGCAAGCATCAATATTTTAAATGGCAAGATGTTTGGACCTTTCTTGCATGAGTTGAACTTCTTAAACAGTTTAAGGTTACATGAAATATTATATGCGTTTATTTAGGCCTTCTGGCTTTGTTTAGCCCGCGTGCAGGCCCACCGAGGGAAGAATAGTGGGCCTGCAAGGAAGACCAGGTATATTGTATTTGTCGCGTTCGCACACGAACGCAGCATTCTGATTAGCTGTTTGCTGTTGGATTCTATAATTAGATCAGTGATTCATCGCAAAGGCTCTCGATAAGCTAGCCCGCGTGCAGGACCGGCGAGGGAAAAATAGTGGGCCTATGGCAAGGAAGACAGGGTATTTTGTAAAACGCCCCTCAGTTTCATAACACGCTTCATTCGCGCGTCAATTGTCAAAAAGAACCAATGACAGCAACCCAAATAGTAAACAAATTTGCATTAAAATGTTGCGGGGTTTTCTCTGTGTATTCAAAATAGAAACAATGCACGGGAGGTTGGAAGCTCTTTCCGGCATGCATTGTAACTCATTAATATTATCAGGGCGTAATAAAACACGGGCGAGGAAACGCGCTGATCCATGTGTGATCAGTGTGTGCAATGCGGCTGGGGAATGGCACGAGCGCGCGTTTTGCCAAAAGTCAAGAAGAAAAGCGAAAATGGTAGGGAGTGTTCAAAGAGCTGGATGTTCAAAGTTATAATAAAGATATATGTTTAAACGTTAACCTAAATATTCAGTGTAACATTGAAAGAAAAGCTACTATACTTTAATTTTACTTTCCAAAAATTCACCAAAAATGTATTGCCTTTTACAGTGCGTCTACAGTAAGTGGGGGCACTTAGAGAACACTAACCAATCGCATTGCAGAACAAAAAGAAAAATCTAATCAAACTAAAGCTTGTCCAATCAAAAGAAAGATCGAGGAAGCCATTAACAGCAGTGTTTACTTTTACAAGTCTATTTTACCGTTTGACATTCGTTTCTTTGTTCAAATTGTTTTTGGCCTAATGCTGATTGGCTAATGAGCCGTTTGTTGATTTTTTCAATTTTTGTTCTGCAATGTGATTGGTTAGTGTTCTCTAAGTGGCCCCACTTACTGTAGACGCACTGTAATAAATAAATGTTAATCAATATGTTAAAATCTATTATTTTTAAGCGCTGACAATAGATTTCACATTAGTTTTTGAAGTCATAGATTATGCTAGGTAAATTTGATGGCGCAAAAAGTTGCCAAAATTATAATACTTTACTCCTCAGAGGATTTCAGGCTCTGGTTTCGAGATTGACTTTACACTACTTAATACATTCTCGTACCCAGAGCGCGGTGCGACGAGGGGCTCTGGCCAAATCCATATCAAACTAGCATCTGATTGGCTACAACGAAAGTTATTGTTCTAATACCGGATATATTCTTTTACCATGTTTTTATGGTGTCCGGTTTTGGATTTGGCCAGAGCCCCTCGTCGCACCGCGCGTAAGAGGGGCTCTGGGTACGAGAATGTACTTAATACAGCTACAATCTCGAAACCAGAGCCTGCAATCCTCTGTGGAGGCTTGCTGGGGGCTCTGGGAAACACCGGCGACTTTTGCACGAAAATCAGTACATTTGGATCCAGTACTCCGCTCGACATTTATAAATAGACATTACTGCCGTTAAATATGAATTATGCCGTTGTTTAAGCTTATTACGACTTTAATTCTTCAAAGAACACTTGCCATGGTTTTGAATTGTTGTAAGATACTGGTAGTGATTTATTTTAACTTGTTTAATTACGGTAAATCATGGATTGTTGTGTTATTTTAAATATTATAGGCAACGGCTTATCATGACCTTATATGGTAATGCTGCACTGTTATTCTACATTTTGTTATGGCATGGTAGAAAACCCGGGTAGCGGATAACTGGATAACCGGATAACCGGATAATCGGATAACCGGATAACCGGATAATCGGATAATCGGATAATCGGATAGTATATAGAGATTTTTTCATGGGAAATACTTACGTGTGGTATTTACGCGCGCGTTAATTTGTTTTCGCAAATTAAACGAACGAGCGAGTGCAAAATTTGTTTACTTCATAGACGATACAGAGTTTATTTATATTACACAGCGAAAAATATAAAGGTTTATATGTTTCATAAAGCGAGACAATCAGATAAACAAAGTCGTGTCGTACAAAAATACATCGGAAAATACAAATTTTTCAGTATTAAACTATTAATGAACAGGAAAGGAAATATCAATTTATTATTATTATTTACAAATATTTTAAAACGGTAGCTCTTCAGAACACTTATGATCCGTCTTTCAAGAGGCCGTTTAAACTAATATTTACAAAGTTTAATAAAAATTACATCTAAAATATAATATAAATTATCACACAGTTAAAGTCTAAGAGAATATATACAAAATATTGTATGCTCACATAAATATAACTAACAAACTGTTGTCGTTTTCTCTGAGAAATGTTTTGAATTGTCCCATCGTCATTTCTTTTGCCTTAATCTCATTTGGCAAATTATTCCAGCATTTTGCCCCTGAGTAGCTAATACTTTTTTTGAGGAAATTAGTCTTAGGTTTATCATACAGTTGAAAATTAATTCCGTTATTTCTAAGGTCATATTTTTCATTATTAGAGAATCTAAACAAATTACCCATATTTTCCGGTGCCTCCTGATTTTTAACATTAAACATGAATGTGAATCACCCGCTCTCCCTTCTTTCCTCAAGTGTTTGCCAATTAAAAGCTCTTTTAGCAATTCACTTGTACGTATTTCATATGATTTGCCAGTAATTTGCATCTTGTCGTGCAAGTAATTACTGCAATTTTCCAAAACTAGACTGCAATAATCAATAAAAAGGAAATATCAATAAAATAATGCATCTATTCGAAAAACTCAGTATCTATATAATAAAAAGATTTTTATTCTAATTTTAAGGTAAATATTCCATTCATGATTCTCATTGATTTAAGAACCGCGTTAGCCCCCTCAGATACGTCCAAAGGCTTCTGTTATCAATTAAGGAATACCGAATGTTTTCCGTGCAGGATTGCGTGATCCATGCACGAGGGATGTCGCGAGACTTTCGGAAAGCGTAAACTACTCGAGCCGCAGGCGAGTGTATTTTTACGCTTTCCGAAAGTCGAGCAACATCCCAAGTGCATGGATCACGCTATCCTGCTTGGAAAACCATTTGGTAATTGTGTTATAAAATAACTACAGTGAAACAATGACATTTTGTGAATCCCGCGAAAATCCCGCGAAGGAATTTTAATTCCTCGTGCAGGATAGCCTGATCCTACACAGCTATTGACCAATCAAATTGCGTGTTTCACTGTAGTTATTATATAATACTGATTACTGGGCCCTTTCTCGATATATGAGCAACCGAAAGTATTGCATATATTAAAATAAACATACGTTCTTGGCGTTATGGTGGGGTATTGTATAATTGTACGGGCTTGCTCATATATCGATTAGTTATTGTTACAGGTATTTTGTCTTGAATATTTAACTTAAGCCTTCAACCCGAGCATAGGCGTATAAAGAAGCATCGAGCGCTATATACTGTAGTTCTATAAATAGCGCTGCAAAGCTTATACATTTCAACTGGTTGAAATGTATAAAATGTATAAGCTTTGCAGCGCTATTTATAGAACTACATTGTTTACTACCAGAGGAGGAATGAGGGTCTTCCCGAAATGCAACGCGCGAATCAGTGCGGCTCATTATTATTCAAGCTATTTATTCTCAACGCGCCGTTCGATTAAAAACTGTTGAAATATATTGCGATTTTTGCCGTGAAGATCTCGTTTT